GTGCGCAGAAATGAGGACAACATCAACAGCAGAGCGAGCGTGAGGACATCCGGACGTGATATGTGTCAGCGACAGTCGTTGGACCGTAGTGCCGTGTACGCGCTGGCCCGTTCCCTGTCCCTCGAGTTGTCGTTTTTCTTTCTGGACAAAGGTGGCTTGCACGCTGAGCGTTTCTGCCGGTCCTGCCATATCATTTGTCAGTGCATGTCTCGACTACAAGTATCTGTGTCTGATATTTGTCGCGTGATGCATGTATTCGACTACGACGAAGCGACCATTGGCAATGGCTACCGCAGCATTGTGTCGGTGGTCGACAAGTGTGTACTGAACATCATCCGGTTGTTGAAGTTCGTCAAGGAGCACAAAGGCACGATTTTGTTCCGTACCGGTAACTACTGCAAGGAGCTGGAGGCTTACTGCCAGATGTTGGAGACGTTCTGCGACGCGGTCGACCTCACCGGCTATTACCGGCCCGACTGCTCACACGGCCAGTTGTTTCCCGACCTCGACAAGTTGTCCGACTTGGACGAGATGATGCGCAAGTTCGAGTCGTTCGACCAGAGCTGTTTCTTCGGACGAACCATCGGATTTCAGGTGTCGTATTTCGTTGCTTTTTTCTAATGAATTTCATATGCCAGTTTGCTTCAGTGTATATGTGCATTTCAACATGAGATACACTGGATGTACATCTGGTTTAAAGGGTTAGATGAGTCTAAATTTAGCTCACTTCTTAATTTAACGTTTCTAAATGCTGCTGCATTTTCATATTTTAATTTAATAAACTTTTCTGATACGTTCAATTGGCAGCAGGCACTGGAAAATTTTTTACTTATTACATACAATCATTGTTCAGTCGGTCACTCACGCAAATACTCCATTTTCCAAGAGTTATAACTAGGTCCACGCACATTAGGTCCACACACTAGACATAACATAGATCCACGCACATAGACTCCTTTCTCCAAGAGACACTAAGATGAAAATCTGCAGAAATTTATTACATCATATGTTCTGAGCTAATGAACGAATTATCAGACACCATGACTTGACCTAGATATGTCAAATGAACTTTCGTGTTTCACTCTTACTTGCTCTATTTGTTTTGGCGACGATGCGGAACGATGAACGTTAAATTTGTAGTTTCAATTTGCCGTTTATTCATTCATTCATTTTCAAAGCACACTACTCGTTTCAAACCTGGCGGTAGCCGCATCAGAAAGCGTTACAAATGGTCTCGGTACACCTCCAACCCGACAGGCCCTGTAGTCTGGATTCTGAGTCGCGATACTGCTATTTCTGTTATATAATTGAGTCATCGATGGTGCGCGGTGTCATGGTGTTACAGTGGTTGTGGAATCGTCTTTGAACCCTGTATGTGCCGCGTTAAAATCCTCACAACGGGCATTTTTTTTCTGATCCGTGAATTTTCTATAGCAAGGAATTAGCCCTATATTGCTTCGGCGCAACCAACTGAGAAACCGGTGATTTGCGGTATAACCGGTATCTTGCGAATAACAGGAATGGCATTGTGTGTTAATGTGGTGGTACCAGAATGGACGAGGTTTAACGCCATGTTGTCCGTTGCGAACGTTCTTTGTGGCTAGTATCCACTTTGATTTCACCCAGTTGATAACTGATTACCCAGAGTATTTTTCGGCAAAATGTTGCAGGCTCGATTTCTTTCGCTCTTGCTGTCCAGTTTCCAATCAGCCGATGAAGCGTTTTTTCCTTACTTTGCCAGCAATAAGGAATCTTTTCTGTGGCATTCTCGTCACATGATCAGTTCTCATAATTGTGAATTCTCTACTCGCAGGAGAAATGCTCAACACTCAGAATGTCCCGCTCTGCTGTGCCCTAAACTTTGTCGAGTCGTTTGTCACCAAAGTTTCAAGAAACAACATTTCTAAGGCTTGTATCCGAGATCTCACTCTCAGTCATTATCTACCACTCGTAACCACAGGTGAAGGCGAGTGCATAAACAGACTAGTTCACGCATTGTTGCACTATTCTGATCGATCTTTGTAATTTTTTCGATGGTGTGCCTACCTCACTCGTAAATGCTACCCATAATACTTAAAATTTCTTTACTTGTTCCAGCGGTACTGCCCATGTCTGTAGAGCTCAATGTTGCTCTGTACAAACCTGTAGGTTTTGGTCAGACTAATTTTCACGCTGGCCTCGTCGCATGTAGCAGTCGAGCGATCAAGCACATTTTAGACGTGGTCAGCTTTCGACCAAGTGAACATGATAACAGCTGACTCAGTTATACCTCTCCAAGTATGAGCCCTCTGTGCTTAGGGTGCATCTGATGATACGATTCTTAGAGATCATGAACATGAGTAGAGACCATACATGTTTAGCGGCGACCGACGCGCACCTTAAGGAGCATAATTTTGCTGCCGTTATTCCGGAATAGAACTTTGAGCGGTCATATAAGGATTTGGTGGCTCCATGTGCTGGTCATTCACCTCACATTCCTGCGCTACGCTCCCTATGTTCGACCGGGTACTTTGTCTTTAAGCTTTTTACAGTCCTGTACTTTTGTTCAACAAGCATTAAACATCATCGTACATTCCAAGCATTACTCGCACAATGTAATTCACATGTTGCGATCGAGATGGACTTTTGCGCAGTTTACTGGGCAAACTAAATAAAAATATGTTTCCTTTGTTGCTGTGTTATTCTAGTATCCTTTCTTATACACCGGCGTAGCCATGATAGAGTAGCGTTGGCTTCGATTTGTAATTGTTGTGGTTGTTTGTAACCGTTGGAATGTTTGTCTTCCTTGTAATTTCATGACTAGGCCATCTGCGGCACTCTTCTTTTCATGAAGTACTGGTTAGGCACTTATCACCATTTCCATGCCATCAGCCAAGAGTGCGCTATTTTTTAGAGGCAGAGTGAACAACAGCTGTTTGCCACGCATGGCTTGTAGACTCATGCTTCCTTCTCACACAGTA